TAAACTGTCACTGATTTAACCTCTACCTCTGAAAAGCCAGCATCCCAGAGTCAAACAGTTATTCTGATTAATATCTTCAGACTTAACTGTTCTGCAATCTCCACTGAAAGAGTAGTAAAGGCCACAACATTCAGCAGATTTTTATTTTCTTATCCATCACCTTTAAAAAAAAAATCATGTAACCTGATGGAAAATTCTGTAGACTTTTTTGTTGGTCCTAATGAAGGTATTCCTGAGATGTACTCTGGTAACAACACCAGTAACAACACTGGAGTACATCTTTCATTTTGAAGCAATTCACAGTATTTTATCCCCCTCAACTCTCTCCTAATGAAGGTATTCCTAACTCGGAGATTTATTTCTCCTGTTGAGGAGCCACATCTGGTATCTTCATTTTTAGTTTATTGGAGGGGGGGGATGTTGTTCCATTTGATTTTATATTTGCAGAAGCTACACATTCTTTTCTTGAAGGTAACTCTGAATGGTAAATATGCAGACAAGAAATAAACTGCATTAAAAAAAATCCACACCCTGGGTTCTCAAACTTTGATCCTCCAGGTGTTCTCAAAGGTGGCTACTATATCCTTTACCTGTATCCTTTACCTGTGCTAAAAAGGCATGGGACCCTTATGCGAGAGGCGGGGGCGAGGACGCCGATACTTCCGCCAACCATTCTGCCGATGCCCCACAGCGCTCCGAATCCCCTTGGGATGCACCAGTTTTAAGATGTGCCCTTCCTTCCCATCAGATGCCTCAGACAGTGGCCCTGAGAAGAGAAAGAAAATCAGAACTTTATCACAAAATACTACCATGAAAGTGCTTCACTGCCAGGCGCTAATAGAACAAGGAAAGCAACAGGAGGTGATGGCAGCTATTTAATTTAATGGGCTCCAGCTGCACAACTGAGCAAAAGGAGGCAATTGTGAGGCGTACATTCTCAGATTGTTTAAGATTCCTGGTACATCTATAATCTGTACCAAGAAGACAACAGGCACTTCTCTATGAAACACACCTGAAACACCACCTGCCGAAGCGTACACGTTGGCCTGTACACATTTGGTCAGTCGATAACTGCATTGTCTTTGGAAGTTTTTTTGAATATGTGAAATGGCGATTGTAGACTAAACATCACAGAGAAGAGCTTGGGTATGCCCCGACACCACATCAAACATAGTATTTTTTGTTTTTCAGCAGAAACACTTAATATATAACTGAGAGCCAATTGATGTGTGTACTCAGGACAAAACAAAATTATGGACCAAAAAAGCTCTCCAGTGAGAGAGTATGATCTCCAGTCCTTACATTTATATTTCTTGCCATTTAAGTTTATATTAAAAGTCGGCATTACAATTCATTCCAGAATGAAGCTTTAAAATACCTATGGTGGTTTTATTTATATTTTCCCACCACCATCACTCTGCCCTAAGTTTTGGGAGAGAAGAAAACAGCTGCATTCATTTTTGAAAATTTCATTCCTTCTCTTGCTTTTCTTTTTTCCCCTCCCTTGTAATCTCATCTCCTTAACCTCCTCCTTTTTATAGTTTACTGATTCCCACAATGAGTCCAGCAAATATCCCAGGGAAAAGAGCATCAAAATTCTCTTTGCTAGTACAAACATGGAACACCGGAGCAATAAACACCAGCTCCCTTCCAAGCTGCCCTTAGCGCTTGTTCATTTAACATTTTTAAAATTTGGAATCAGAAAAGCTATCATATCACTCTGATCATGAAAAAAAAAAAGATTCTTGTTGCCCTTTGCATTTATTAAAGAGCTAACAGGTAAAAGTAACATTTGTTGGCTTATTTGCATACTTGTTCATTTAAGTAATAACTAATTAATAATGTAATAAATTAAATCTGGAATGTACGTTGATACTGAAAGTCCAATTTAAGTTGGATTGAAGTCTATACATCAGAAAATTGAGGAGATATTGAATATTAAGCTTCAAATGAGACCAGAATTATTGAGTATGATTGAAGAGGGGTTGGACCAAGGTAAGGAAAGAATATTATATTACATGATTTCAGCAGCAAGACTGTTAGTTGCTCAAAAATGGAAAGAAAACCTAATGCCAGAAATACAAGATCGGATGGGAAAATTAGTAGAAATGGCAGAATTAGATAAAATTACATGCCTTATGAAGTACGAAAGGTTAGGGCAATTCACTCAAAATTGGGAGCAAGAAATAGATATATAAGCAAACATTGGGGGGTAATGGCAATGTGGGGATTTAAAGATTAATTAAATAATAATGGTGATTATAATATACAATCGCTAGAAGAAAATGGCATTAATAGTTTGGATTTATGTTGGGTAATGTAT